CAACCTTTGGAGATAGTAGACTCTGTCCTCTGTCGACAGGTGGCCGAGATTCCGGCTGGGCACTACGGTGATCTCTCGGAACTTTACGGCTTGGTGGCCAGTGAATCACGGGGTATTCAGACTGCCGCCTTCACGATTTTGAACATGGCTCTACCGGCTGCACAGGAACAGATTTCCGTCGACGTGCTGTTGGAGAAGAAGGACGCACGACTTCCCGACGAACTCTTGTCACTGCTTCTCGACGCACCAAAGGCCGAGTCGTTCTCTGACGAGCTGATGGCCCTGTTCCCGACACCTGTACGCTCGTACCTACTATCCTGGCATCTTGTTTTCGATGCGTTCCGCGCGGCATCCTTCAAAGTACGCGGGGACTACGCCGAGAACCTCAAGGCAGAGAATTACGTCGGTCCGCTGATGGAATTTATTTTCGATGTGCTGGGTTTGTCCGCAGCTCAGGGCTTGAGTCTGGGCCGTGCGGGTTTCACGTCGGAACACATCCGCCACTACGATCTGAAACAGGCTGAATCTGAGTCGGAAGAGAGGAAGATGCAGTGGCTCTTGATACATCTGTTCTACTTGGTTCTGAAGTACGTCCCTGGCCTCTTCAAGACGTGGTACATCGATTGCCGGTCAAAGCAGACAAGGGTATCGGTGCAAGCATGGATGGCGAGGTACTTCTCGCCCATCATCATCTCGGAAGCGTTGGACGACGTGGCGAAATGGAACGAGAACCAGGAGACGCCGGCTGATGACGAGAAGGAGCTGATCGTCAAGGTCAGCCGGACGGCAAAGGAGGTGATTGCCGGGTACGAAGTGGACGAGCTCAACGCGTCCATCTCGATCCGCGTACCGCCCGAGTTCCCGCTCGAGCCCGTGACGGTGGCTGGGATCAACCGCGTTGCGGTGAACGAGAGGAAGTGGCAAAGCTGGATCATGGCAACGCAGGGAGTCATTACATTTTCGGTACGTGCACAACCCTCTACTCATCTGTCACGGAAATAGGCAAGTACCTATCACAGTTGGCTTACAAACAAGGAACAACAGGGCGGTAGCATCATCGACGGTCTCACGGCATTCCGGCGCAACGTCGTCGGGGCGCTCAAGGGTCAGACGGAGTGCGCCATCTGCTACAGCATCATCAGCACGGACAAGAAGATGCCGGACAAGCGGTGCCAGACGTGCAAGAACCTGTTCCACCGCACTTGTCTGTACAAGTGGTTCCAGAGCAGCAACCAGAACACGTGTCCGCTGTGCCGGAACCCGATCGACTATCTCGGCTCGGATGCGAGGGGGAGAAGGGGTGGTGGAGCTGGGGGTGCATATTAGACGGGGTTTTTGATACAGGTTGGTGGGTAGTAGGCGCATAGACAGACTACTTACCCACCTCATCGATCTCTTTCATGCGTCGAGTCAAAAAGGTTTTGCATTTTTGGTGGGCTTATCTGCATGGCGGGTGTGAAAATAGGTGTGACATAATCTTAGTATATGGACATTGACTAGCGACTTCCCCAGGTCCGACTGTTTTTGTGTCCTCTGGAGGGGATTCTACAAGGAAGTCGTGCCCAGCAGGTCCAAAGTTGTCGGGTGTCGCCCCTGCCGAGTGAGTACAGGCCAGGAAAATCAGGCCATATAATCTTCCCTTGTCTAGATCCCGTCTCAGGTCTGTCTGTACTTTACGTAGAGTTTGGTATATGTCTCTACTACACTACCTTGACCTTCATCCACATTACTCGGAGCTACTACACATCCTGAACATCGCTCATCCCTCATATTTGCCTAACTAGGCTCCGACTTACTCTTCTTGCCTGTATCATCTCCAACAATTGTACAAGAGGTATTGTCATCATGTCAGTCTATCGCTGGTCTTTACCTACTAGAGGCATCATCCGTGACACCACCCACGATGGGGAGCCCTCCGATCGACCCAGATTCCCAACTATATACGTCGGACAACCCAACCAGCGTCAAAGGCCGAGCCTAGCCACGTCCTTCTCCACGCTCTTCGACAAGTCCGAGAACCGCCGGAGTAGGTCCAAGTCTGAGAACTTGCTGTCGTCAGCTGAGAACACTTTCGACACGCTGCCTCGTGGAAAAGACAAGTCGATATTATCTGTGTCGAAAGATGCCGGTGGCGGTACGGCCCCGCCGGTGCGGCCTCTTCAGCCCAAAATGTCGAATCAGAGCATGCTTCCGGGGATGGACACGCCAAAGATTCGGTCTTTCAGCCTGTCGAGTACCGAGACGAGCGAGGCGGGGAAACAGGATAGCCCGCTGCACTTGGAGACCATCAAGTCGATTGATGATGTTACTATGCAGACCCTACAGAAAATCCATCCTGTCCGCACCACTTCATCCTCCTACCCCTCTGAAGGTATGCGTTCTCCTCACGGTCGGTGCCTCTCGTCCGGTGGGGGCTCCTCCCAGGGCGATATTGCGAAGCAGATCACGGCCGAGTACGGACGTATTGGTGACCAGCACTCTTCACGTCTCGTCAGCATGACTACGACCGAGACAACAGGTGACCTCGGTTTGCCCGCTGGGGCTGACGAAGAGGGCGGCGACGTCCCGGCTAATGACGACGGCAGGCTCCCGTCTCCTTGTAGTATCACGGCTATTGCCGAACCTGCAATTGCTAGTGATATAAATAACAGTGCAAAGACCCGAGTTGCCCTGCTCCGCAAGACGCTCAAGGGATCAAGCATCAATTCCGAGCATAATCTCCATCAGGACCCCTTGATCCGATCCCGTCGGCTGAGCAGGGTGGGAGCGGGATGGCCTGCTCTCCGAACTTTTCAGAACCAAGAAGGAAGGAAGAGCTACCATCATCGACGCCACAAGCACTCGAATACGAGCGACATGACGGTGCCCATACTGCTAGAAGACGAGGGAGAGGGCGGATCCGTCTCCGAGGGGCTGTCGGTCAGCTTCGTGACGTATAGCCGACGACGCCTGGCCTTGCGGAGTGCCTCGGAGGACTGTTTGCGGTCTAATCACAACAAGGGAGTCGGGTTTAGACGCAAGACAGCCTCGGCTCATCGGCTTCGTTCAAGTTACACGACTACGGTTACTGGTACGAGTACCGAAGGGACAAGGGTGGCAGCAAGCCTATTCCATCCAACGGATGATGGAGATACGCTGTCGGCGCTGCATGAGGGCGATGATGCACCGCGCCAAGATGAGAAGGAAAAGGGGCAGGGGAAGAGAAAACCGAGTACTTCTTTCTGGATCCAGAATCTCTTCAGCGTACACAACCGGAAGATGAACCAGAGCCCGAGTAGCTACAGTGATTATAGCCATGGTTCAACTGTCGACCTGGGTGGTCGACAGCCCAGACGGGGTCACAGGCACCATCACCATCATCATAAGTTTCACTTCGTGAAGTGGGTCAAGGGTATCCTGTCCAGGACGAGGTCTCGGTTAGTTGTGATCGAATCGCTTGCTGAGCATGGGTTGGACAGGTCTGCGGCCCCACGTGGTGGGGATGCCAGGGCGGATGATATTGAACAATTGCTTGAACAACGGGGAATTCATGTCCCAAAGAAGAAGATGAGGAAGAGCGGCAGGAAGATTTTCAAGGTTGGGAGGTGGGGGGCTTCGAAGGCGAAGCTGGATCTCATGGAAAAGGCTGATACGGTCAGGATGGCAGAATTATGGCAGGAGCAGAATGACAGGAAGAAGAGGATGGCGAGACGCGAATCGAGAAAGGGGAGTTTTCAGTTTTCGAACAGGGGAAGGGTTGGGGACCGCGAGGAAGGGCCCCGAAGGTCGATGTCTTGTCCTCCCGAGGTTGGGCTTTAAGTCGATTCAGAGGCCAGGGTTGAGGGTTGTTGGTTGGGTTCCTTTAGAGCATGGCTTTTGTGGTTATGGGGGTATTAGGTATCAGGTTAGATTCTGTTTTCTTAGCAGAGAGAGGGGCAAGAGCAGCCGGGTTGTGTAAGTATATTGTTAGTTTGATTGTCATTAGCTGGTGAGAGGGAGTAGGGTATGAGGTGGAGTTGAGTCAAGTTGGTGGAGTAATAAGACCTATTATTTGTTTAAGACGTACAACATACCGACTGCCTAATGCCTGGATGAAGAAATCTGGTGAGAAAGCAATAGCATGCCTCTATAGGTAAGCTCTGCAGAGATAGGGGATGACCAAAGAGCAGAATTGTGTCCACAACTAGTACGCTTTATCTAGTTCATCTCTTCCGGCGTCGGGCCCGGAGCAGGACGAGGACGATGTAGTCGTAGGCGAAAAGAGCCCGTAGTAGGTTCAATTATTGGCCAGGTCGTCCCTTAAGAAACCATTCAACGGACAAAAAGCCTTTCTAGGCTATAGCCTTGCTCGCTGACTTTGTTGCCGCTAGATAAGGGACGCGGTATAACTGTAGACAAGGACTGCAGGCGGATGTGACTCTCTTATCATGCAGTCGCACCACACGCCTGCATACCCACATACCCACATCCAACCCATGCGGCCTTGTCCCGCTGTCTGCTGGTGACCGGGCTACGGGCGGTACGACGAGATGACGGACCGCTGCGTCTAGCCCTGGCTCAGGGCGCTGCGCAGGGTCAAGTGGCTCACGCTGGAGAACCCGAGCCACATGGCGCACTGGGGGCCAGAGGCTGGTTCATGCGGGTGGGCGGGGACTTTTTCAAGGCCTGAATAACCTAGGACGGGACAGCGGTATTAGTTACTTTGAATGTGTGTTAAAAAGACGTCCCTGTCTGGTGTTGTCAAGGCAAGTCGCTCTTGTGATACATTGCTACCCCTTGGCCAGGAAAGACAAGGCCCAGCTGCAAACCTGCTACCCACCCTTGACGAGGATGGAGAAAACCATTGCTATAAAAGGTTATGAAGAATTAATGCAGATTGAAGATAAGGGTATAACAAACAGGACAGCCTACATAAGAGGAAAAAGGGGAAGGACACAGCATATTCCTTCTGAGGTAAAGAAAGGGATTGGGTATGCAAAAGATTCGAACAGAAATAGCTCGAAAAATGCAATAAAGGATAACTCCCCCGGACAGGCTTGAACTGTCAACCTCTCGATGTACCTATGGAATGTAGAATAACAGTCGAACGCGCTAGCCAATTGCGCCACGGAGGATATTGAATGGCTGGTTGTTGTTGAATTTTGCATTGCTTGTAGGTATCTATGAGAAACGTTTTTAAATTGCGCACTGTATGGGTCTCTGTACCAATAGGTTACTGCTGTACTTAGCTTTCTCTTGTAGGGTAGGCTCTTTCACCACAAAAACGACATTCAAGTCGTGGCACTTTGAGGAGGCACCACATCAAATGAACTTGCAAGTGCAACTCAAACTTGCAAGTGCAAAGGACTTTCAGAGCTTCACTTATCAAGAACCTTCCAAATAAGACCACAAGGACAGTAATAGCGATCCTCTTGCTGTCCTGTTCGAAGGAGATAGCAAGTTCTGAGCAAAGTCAGTTATTGTGCACGACAGTCTCAAAATCCCCAATCTCCGGGCCATACACCACCTCAAGTCCTCAGATACAAGTTCCATGCTCCCTTCCTCTCATATTACACATCCATCCATACATACTTACATGGGTACTTACATATATACACATTCAGGCCCGTTAATCTGGACTCAACTCTCCACTGACAAACCCAATCTGCCTCCTCAAACTGCCATTCCCGTTGCCATTCCTGTCCAGGCCTAGAGCGAGCTCCCTCTGGCTGTCCACCAACCTCTTCTGGTCCCTCACCCTGTCCCTGAACCGCGCGTCGGCCTTCTCGTCCAGCCTCTCCATCTCCTCCCTCTCACGGAGCCGGACGCTGGACAGCTGGTTCGCGTTGCCCAACCTCTCGCCGCCCACTCTCTGCTCCCACTCAAGCAACCTGGCGTGCTTGGTCGTCTCAACACCCAGCTCCGCCTCGCCGATGGCCCGCGTCCTGGCCACCGCAGCGGTCGCGAGATTCTCTTGGTGCTCCACCTCAGCTAGCTGCCTGGCGCGCTGCCGTCTCAGCGCGTCGTTGAAGAGCTCCTCCTCGGCGTGCGCCCGCTCCCTCAGCAGCGCCATGTCGGAGCCGTGCGCACGCCTCTTGCGCGCTTCCTCAAGCTCCGCCTGCTCGTCACGGATTTGCGCCCGAACAGCCGCAATCTCCCTGTCCCGCTGAATGGCCAGCGTGTGATCCTCGTCCCGTTCGCGGCGCGCCCGCCGCCCCTCCTCCTCCCGCTGCAGGTGCGGCGGCAACGTGCCAACCGCATCCTCCGGCTGAGACTCTCGTCCCGAGTTGGCGTAGTACACATCCGTCCCGCGGTTTGCGCGCAACAGGTTGAGGAGTGCTGTTTTTCCATCTTCCGATGCCTGTAGTACCTTTTTCACGTACATCGTGGGCGAATACGTGAACTTGCCGTCGCTGTACTGGTTAAACGGCTTGTTGATCTCCTTCCACAGACCAGCTCGTAAAAGAACTTTGGTGGTCGTAACCGGCTCAGCTGATTCAAGCGCGAGTACGAGAGCTGACTTGCTCTCCGATTGGATCGTGATGTCGGATCCGCTCCTCAACAGGAATTCGATGGCCCTCTCCATGGCCTTTTCCGTCTTCACGGTCACCTCTAAAGAGTCAGTAGCGTGGAGGCATAGCTCCGCCAGAGCACTCCGCCCGCCGTGCAGGATGCTGGGGAAGTCCGGTTCGTGTCCGTACTCGACCAGCACCTGCATGGCGCGAATGTTGAGCTCTCGCGCGGAATTGTGGAGAGAGCCGTCGTTCTTCGAGGCTCCGGCTGCGAGCAAGTTGGACATGATGTCGATAGCCAGGTCGCCTCCTATGGAAGATGCCATGGAGAGGGGCGAATTTCCAAGGGCGTCCGTCACATCGACTTCAGCACCGGCCAACAACAGCAACTTGACCACATCTTGGCGATGTGCACGGATGGCTTGCATGAGCGGAGTGACACCAGAAACCGAGGTCTGAAAATTAACCTTGGCTGTGCAATCGTGAGAAAAAATACCTGCGATGGTTAGGTCAATCTATACTTACCTCCCCTTTCCAGCAGCAGGTCGATGAGCGCGGTGCTGATCTTCTTCTGCGGCTGCAATAACACCCACATGAGTAGCGTCACAGACTCGGGCTCTTCCGCTTCGTCCACAACGTTGCACCTCACCATTTGCTCATGGTAGAACCCAACGTCCAAGACAGCCTCTAGGATCTTGGTTGAGCGTGGAAACCGGGACAGGGCCCTGATGACGACCGGATCTGATCCCGGACGCTCGGAGAAAATATTCAGTTGACTATTATCGTTCCTATGCTCGGCGAACAGTGCTACAAGCTCCAGTATATGGTCTTCCGTAAACGGCGCATCGAAGACCCTGGGAAATGCTGAAGTGAGAGTCTCGGAGCCTGGCTTTTCATCTAACAACCGTGCGAGTAGCTCGACACTTCCACTGAAAGCTGCTATTTGAAGAGGCTCGCCAGAATTGTAGTTGACGTCTGCGCCGTGCCTCAGTAAAAGGTCTACAAACCCGGCTGTCGTCGGGTGCGGCGTCTGCATGTGTCGATTGAGGACGGCCACCAAAGCGGACCCAATCGTGTTCCCTTTTGCACCTTTCTCGAGCAACCTCGCGGCGATCTTTAACCCTCGCTCAGATACCCATGAAGCGGAATTTCCAGCGGTGAATGCCTTCGAGAACACTAGGGACGCATCGTCGCTCGTAGCCCGAGTCTCGAGCAGCTCGCCGAACATGGATGCAGACACCGTTGTAGCTGCATCGATCAGGGTCTGACAGCCATTGACGACGGGCGATGACCTGTAGCTTAGAAAAAGGCGGATCAACCTCTCTTCAGGCACTGGCTCATTGACTGCGCGATGGAGCGCTGAATGGACGGCACTGGGCACCAATACGCCGGCTCTGAAGAGCCAGTCGACGACGATAAACCTAGTATCTCTGCTTAGGTCCCAGCACGCGTCCAGACCGCGGACGAGCGTATACGACGAGGGCTTCTTCTACTGTTATGTTAGCTGTAGCTGATATTGGGATGACTGATCTCGACACGTCGACATACTTGTTGTTTGGTGATCCGTTGGCCATCCGGAGAAATACCAAGCAGAAGTTCTAGGCTTCCTAGAAATGCGCTCCTGACTGCTTTTTCTACCGCCTCCCCGCCGTTGTAGTCGGGGCTCGCCCCGTACAGCAACAAGAGCTTCACCAACTCTGTCCCTTCGTCGCCGTATCGAACCGCCGAAACCAGTTGCATGTCGACAATCTCTCCCGTGACCCCCATATGGAGTAGTATCCTGAAGACCAGAGCCCGTCTTGTAAGATCACCAACCTGCGTAGCGCCTTGGAATGCCTTCTGCAGAGTCTCCTGTGAGATCCTCATGCCGCCCATCATAAGCATTTCTAAGACTCCCACCGCTCCCGACTTGCAAGCCTCGACTACTGCCTGTCCGTTTTTATGATTGGGGCTTCCGCCGTTCTGAACCAGGATGGTGCTGAGCGCCACATCGCCATCCGTCGCCGCCGCCAGCAGCGCATCGGAGACCACCTCGCCCGAGGCACCGGCTTTGAGCAGGCTGTTGCAGAATTTAGCCCTCGTCCTCTTGTCCTTCGTCTTCGTCGCTTCCATGAAAGCCGCGTTCAGGACGACGGGTGCGAAGTTCCTCGTGCCGAGTATCATTTCCAGCACGATAGGCTTAGCGACCTTGATCGCTTCGATGAGAGCTGTCCCGTCCGTCGTATCGGCACGGGGAAGGAGCGCGCTGATGAGAGGAATGTCGTCGGAATACCTCCGCACGGCAAAAACCAGGGCGCGGTTCACTTCGTCTGGCGGCATGCCGCCGGCTAGTATCATCTGAGCGTACGTCAGCCTGTCCATCGGATCGCGGATGCGCAGAGCGTGAGGCATGACCCAGGCCAGTGTCATGGGCGAGGGTGACGCTGTCAAGAGAACCTCGACTATCTGCATGCTGGATGCCGCGACGGCACGACTCAGCGCCTCGCCGTTCAGTGCATTCACGTCTGCTCCCTTTACCAAGAGTGTTTTCAAGACTGAGAAATTTCTTTCCTGTGGGGACATTTTCACCAGAGCTTGTACCTCCTCGACCAAGATTCCACCAAGTGCTTCTTTGGGCGTCCTTCGGCTTCGGGCCAACAGCGACTTGAGCCTGCCTGCCTTGGCACTTGATGGCGGCAGCTTTGCAAGGCTCTTCAGAGCTCGACCTACGCTTTCATCGTTAGGGCTTCCGAGAGTAAGAAGGAGCTCCAGTATCTCGGGGTCTGGGTGCTGTGCAGCCTGCTCCACGGCAACCCCTTCGTTGACATTCACGTCAGCACCTCCCTGTTGGAGTAGGAGCTGTATCAGCCGCTTGTCGGTAGGTCTAGCCACGACTGCAGCGAGCAAGGCTGCGGATATCTCAGCACTGCCCGGGATCAAACCCGAGTCGAGAAGCATGCTGATGAATCGGACTCGCGCCGAGCCATCTGCTACCTCCATTGCTCTCGGTACCGCCTTCGCTATCGTCTGCGCTGTCGGTTTCCCGCTGAGCAGCGCCTCCAGCAATGGGATATCGTTGTTTGCAATGGCGGCGGTGATGGTGTCGCCCTCGTTGAAGCTTACATGGGCAGTATGGCGCAATAAGAGCGATATGAGCTTCTCATCGCGCCGAGAAGGTAGCTCACTGATCGCTTTCTCGAGGGCGGAGTGAACACATGCGCCCGTAAGGCCTGCGCTCAAGAATAGCTCGGTGATCTGGTACCTCTCCAGCCTTGGGAGGTTCCGCGTACTTGGAAACACTTGAGCGAGAGCGAGCTGGCTAGGGGGCTTGTGGGTGAGGATAAGGCTGGCGACGGCCCCGTGCGCTTTCTCCACTGCGACTTGCAATGCCAGTGCCCCTTTATACTCGGTCGACGCAACCACGTGTGTCCCTTGTTCATCGGGAAATGTGGGTGTGACGAGCAGCCTCACCGCCTCAATATCCCCGACTTCGACTGCATCAATCAATGCTTCGTCGATAGCGGCTCCGGCCGCTCCTTTATTCAGGAATGCAGCGAGGAGGAAATAGCGATCTTCGAAAGCAAGGTCCTTTGGTAACAGCTCAACACACTCGGAAGCTCGCTCCGAACTGAGCGTCGAGGTAC